AGCTATTGGTTTATAATTCATGTGTTTCTACTAGTTTGGCTATTTGTCCCTGTGATTTTCCAATCATGGTCTCAACATCTCTCGCTCATACAATCCCACCTCTTTCTCACCAACTGGACTCCTGGACCTCCTCCTGGGGCCTGGCCATGGATCTCTGCATCTGCTTCCATCAGCCATTGGATAAGAGTTCTACCAGGACAGTTAGGGTGTTTGGCCTTCCGATCACCAGAGTAGGTCAGTTCGGGCTTTCTCTTGACCATTGCCAGTAGTCTATTATGGAGGTATCTTTGTGGATTTCTGGGGACCTCTCTAGCACTTTGCTTCTTCCTATTCCCATGTGGTCTTCATTTGCTATGGTCTCTTTCCTTGTTCTCCCTCTCTGTTCTTGATCCAGCTGGGATCTCCCGCTCCCCTAAGCTCTCTTTCCTTTGAGTCTTGCTCTTCATAACTCCCCCCTCCATCTTGTCCAGTTTGCTCATGTGGATCTCATCCATTTCTCTGTTGTTGGGTGATCCCTGTGTTTTTATTAGGGTCCTCTTTACTAGGTAGCCTCCCTGGAGTTGTGAGTAGCAGTCTAGTCATCCTTTGTCAGAATGCAAACTTGTACAGCCACTTTGGAAATCAATATGGCGCTTTCTTAGAAAATTGGGAATCAATCTCCCTGAAGACCCAGCTATACCACTTGGACATATTCCCAAGGAATGCTCAATCATACCATAAGGGCACATGCTCAGCTATGTTCATAGCAGCATTATTTGTATTAGCCAGAACCTGGAAACAACCTAGATGCCCTTCAACTGAAGAATGGACACAATGGAGTAATACTCAGCAGAGAAAAACAATAACATCATGAGGTTTGCAGGCAAATGGATGAATCTAGACAAAAGCATCCTGAGTGAACTAACCCAGACTCAGAAAGACAAACATGGTATGTAATCACTCATAGGAGGATACTAGATGTAAAACAAAGGATGATTAATTATTTCTTATAATATCTAAGTAGTAGTCCATTGCAAGTTAGCACCATATTTTCATCTTTCCTTGATTCTCATGGACCTAGTCTTTTGCCTTTCTTTTTTTTTTTTAGCATTTTCTTTTAAACATAGTGTCTTAGTTAAGGTTTCTATTTCTGTGAATAGATACCATGACCATGGAAACACTTATAAAAGACAACATTTAATTGGAGCTGACTTACAAATTCAGAACATGCATCCATTATCATTATGGTGTGAAGCATGTTGGTGTACAGGCAGACATGGTGCTGGAGAAGGAGCTGAGAATTCTACTTCTGTATCAGTAGGCAGCAGGAAGAGAAAAACAGGTACTGGACCTAGCTTGAGCACTTGAAATCTCAAAGCCCATACCAGCGACAAACTTTGTCCAACAAAGCTACACCTACCCCAACATGAACACACCTCCTAAGAATGCTAGTCCTTAAGGACAAAGTATTCAAGTACATGAGCCTATGGGTGTCATTTTTTTGTTTTGTTTTGTTTTGTTTTGGGGATAGGGTTTCTTTGTGGAGTTTTGGTTTCTGTTCTCGATCTTGCTCTACAGACCAGGGTGGCCTCTAACTCACAGAGATCTGCCTGGCTCTGCCTCCTGAGTGCTGGGATTAAAGGCGTGTGTACCACTGCCCCACCAGACATTCTTATTCAAACCACTACACATAGTAAAATGTGATTTTCTCCTTAATGTGTGTAGTCTTTGGCATTGTCTAAAGAAGAGAAGCAACTTGTGGCATACATCAGCAAGTTATTACTAAACACTGACCAAGCCCTTCGTAAAAAGGCTGCTATTGACTACTACTCAGCAACAACCATGATATTTGTTTTGTGTGATACCAATATGTTTCAGAGAAGATTAACTGAAGGGAAGATGCACTTTAGATGTGGTCAATACCATCTCATGTCTACAGGATTAGATTGAATAGGAGAGAGAAAGAGACAGAGAGAAAGAGATAGAGATAAAGACAGAGAGAATACAAAGTGAGCACAAAAATTTCACGTTCTCACCTTCCTGATTTGCTGAGAAGGTAGGATGTCACTACCTTGTCTTTCCCACTGTGATAGACAGTATTTTGTGAACTATGAGTTAAATAACACTTTCATGCTTTTATTCACTTCTTAGGTATTTAGCTGTAGAAGCAAGAAGATATAAACATTGTTATAGCATTTGGATCTGTCACCCATTTGTGTGTCTAGTTGGGTATAATTTCTGAAACTGGGTAGACTAACATTCATCTAAGTATTATTTATAATATAATATCAATATGATGGGATAGCCCCTTCATTGGTATCTAGTAGCTTTCATTATCTCTTCTGACCACTTTTGTTTAAAAATTACGTATGCAGATGCCCGTGTAGCAACTTACACTTGCTTTCGTATACCACTTGCTTAGGTTATTGTAGTCCAGACTTTCACTTTCAGTCTTACGTCTTTGCCATTGAGTTTTTAGCAGATAGTAAGCTGGTGTATTTTGGTTGCTGTTATTTTTTAAGTGCATTAAATTAGTCTGTTTTTTTTTTCTTAAATTAAAGTGTCAAGACCATTTATAGTGCTCACTTCAGCAGCAAGTGAACTAAAACTGAAACAATTAAGAAAGGATTATCATGGGCATTGTACAAAAATGTCATTTAAGTTTGTATAGTGTTCTATATGTTTTTAAGGTCATTCATAATTAGAATTATTTAAAGAAATTTAGTGATTCCACTTTCATTTATCTTAGTTATAAATCTTAAAGAACTCTATTATAATTCAGAATACTTTTATGGTAGCAATAAAATACATGTAGAATGCTGTTGCTGTTGTTGTTGAGAAAGTGCTCACCTGTATATTACATGGATGTGTTTAACATTGACATTAAATCTAGTAAATATTACAGCTTCAAATTAAGATTTTAGTCATATAGTAGTTGTTATTTTGTAGGCAACTATACCCTGTCTTTTTAAAACTAGTAGTAGTGAGCCAAAGCATTAATTCTAATAAAAGTTAACAAAGGTAGAGGGAAAATGCATATGAACATCTGAATCCAACCATGTCTTTTATTACTTCTGAAGATTTGTTTATCACCCATTAATTGAGAAAGCTGTGGAATGGATAGCCAGGCTCCAATAAAAATATGAATGATATTAAAACAATGTCCTTAAAACAATATTCTTTTTCCTGTTAACTAGAATTATGGTGTAATTCTGCCACCTAGTGGAGTTTATTTGTAAGCAAAACCAAACTCTCAAAGCTATTCTTCTGAAGAGGTTTTTAGTATGATTAGAGCAAGGGGCTGAGGGGCCCCCAACTGGATCAGGCCCTCTGAATGGGTGGGACAGTTGATTGGTTTGATCTGTTTGGGAGGCATCTAGGCAGTGGTACCAGGTCCTGGGCTCACTGCATGAGATAGCTGTTTGAAACCTGGGACTTATGCAGGGACGCTTGGCTCAGTCTGGGAGTAGGGGACTGGACCTGCCTGGACTGAGTCTATCAGGTCGATCTCAGTCCTGGGGGGGAGACCTTGATCTGGAGGCGGTGGGAAGGGGGGGTGGGCTGGGGGAAAGGGGAGGGGGGCAGGGAGGGGGAGAACAAGGAAATCTGTGGCTGTTATGTAGAACTGAATGGTATTGTAAAATAAAATAAATAAAAGAAAAAAAAAGATATACCACCTGTTAGAGATTAATGGCACTCGTGGTAATATTTATGTTTTCATTGATTTATAAGTATATAATTTCATAAGATGTAAGTGTAAACACAAAAAGCATGAGACTTAAAAAATATGTTTAAATATATACATGCAGTTAATGCATGCAGATATCTCTTAGTACTAGACTATATTTATCCACAAATAATGTCTTCTACCACCAACTGTCAATCAAAAATCATGTGTTAATGCTAATTTTAACCTACCTTTTGAAACATAAAGGCAAAATTAGGAATGTCATCAATTGTGACTTAGATACTATGACTCAAATATCGTTTATTTAAAGACAACACAAAAGGAGGAAACTTTGACAGTCAGCTCTCCTTCCCATAAATGATATAAGATTTCTAATTAACCCCTTTAATACTAAACTCATTATGAGTTTCAAACTTTGAAATTAAAATATCAACTAATTTAGCACAGAGTTTCAAGAATTTCCAATAGTTGAGACAATTATATAAACCTGTGTCGCAGTGGAGAGATGGCTTAGCTATTCAAGGCTAAGCTCAAAAACAAAAATATAGACATGTGTGATAGCTTAGCCTCATGAATGGATACTTTAAGTTTGTATTATTAGGACTATAATTTAAAATCATCACACGGACACTAATGTGTTTATATTTTAGTCATTATTTTGCCATTTAATTTCTCCGTAACTGTGTTTTATTGCTTTTTAATATCTTAATTTAAAATGTCCTGGACATAGATTTATCACATGAACACTTGAGAGTGGACAATTTTGTGTCATCAAATGCATTCACAGTCTTGTGCTGCTGTGTCCACTGTCTCCAGAATATTTTCACCATCCTAAACTGGAGCTGTGTACATACTGAATGATTCCTTCCCAGATTCAGTGCCTGGTAAGATGTATGAATACTGTCTGCATCCATGAGCTTGACCGTGATCAGTAGCACACATGGTTGGAATTATACACTATGTGTTCTCCATGTTACTGATTTAATTTATTTTAATGTCTACATAAATTGTCCACATTGAAGGATGCATACCTGTTGATGGCTATCGGTTTGGGTTCTATCATTTGTCTCTTGTGAATAAAGATGATCTGGAAAGAAATATGTGGGTCTGGTATTAATTAATCTGCAAACTAGAGGTAGAACTGCTGGGTCATGTGGAATTTGTTTTCATAGGCATATGACATTTTTACATCTTCTTCAATGATACGCAAAGGACACCCTGATCTCTGTATTTTTTATTTTTTACCCACTTCCCTTCTTTCCCTGCCTCCTCCCATCCTTCTCCTTTATTTTTCTCTTATTTTCTTAATTGTGTACCAGCCCTCATAATAAGAATGCGGTAATATATTATACATTAATCATTTTTTTTTTGGAAGTAGTTGGTTGGTTGATTTTGTTGCATTATTGTCCTAAGATACAAACACACAAGCTCTCTCTTTATTCTATATTCAGCACATTTTATGTTAAACTACAAAACCATCAATAGAATGTAAAATTCATTTTTTTTTTAACGGAGACAGGGCTTCTCTGTGTAATAGCCTTAGCTGTCCCACAACTCATTTTGCAGACCAGGATGCCCTTGAACTCACAAAGATCTGTCTGGCTTTGCCTTTCAAGTACAGCTATTAAAGGCATATGCTACCACACCTGGCTAAAAAGGGTGGTGACAGCTCAAACCTTTAATCCAGCACTCAGGAAGCCAAGACAGGAGGATCTCCGAATTCGAGGCCAGCCTGGTCTACAGGAGTTCCCAGACTGTCATGGCTGCACAGAGAAACCCTGTCTCAAAAACTCAAATAAAAACAAACAAATATAAAGAAAGGAAGGAAGGAAGGCAGAAAGAAAGAGAGAGAGAGAGAGGGAGGGAGGGAGAGAGGGAGGGAGGGAGGGAGGGAGGGAGGAAGGAAGGAAGGAAGGAAGGAAGGAAGGAAGGAAGGAAGGAAGGAAGGAAGGAAGGAAGGAAGGAAGAAATCTGTTTCTTGCTTAAAATCAGTAAGTGAGTTGTTCTTGCTGTGGTTTTGTCCTTTCCCTAATCATTAGTGATGCTGACCTGCTGTACTCTGGAGATGTGACTGCCATGGTCCTGTGCAATATGTTGTGTTGAGTTTGTTATAATTGTACTATTTTTATGGCTTCCTAACAAGAATAACACTAGAGCACTAATAATCTTTATAAATGAATAAATCATATTTTTCTCTATTTTAGAAGAAAAGTAATGAACGACCCTAATCCTCTCAGTGTGTAAATCCATGTGTGAATCTACACTATGTTGTATTTAAAATGGAAAATGTTTCTAATAGATTTAAATTTTTATTTTAAGCAAATGACAACTTTCTATGCATGTATGTATGCAGTGTCAAGGAAGCCAGAAGAGGGCTTCGGATCTTCTGAAACTGGAGTTAAAGGCTTGCTTTTTAAAAGTTTTTCTTCGTTTTTTTATTATAATATAATTACCTAATTTTCTTCTTCCTTTTCTATCCCTTGTCCCATATATCACTCCTTACTCTCTTCCAAATACATGACCCTTTTCCCATTAATTTCTCTTACATGAAATTATGTATTCATATATACACATACATATTCCTAAATATATCTTCTTAGTCTATATATGTTATTCATATTATGTTTTCAAGGCTCACAATTTGGTAGTGAATAATCAATTATTGTGTTCTTCCCTGGGGAACACTATTTCTCCCACTCTCAGAATTCTTTACTTGCTTGTAGTTCTTTGTATAAGGTAGAGGACTCATGATCTTTCCAGTGTCCATTTTGCCATGGCTATTGTCTTTGTTAGGTTTATGTTTAGGCAGTCCTGTTAGTGAGACTTTATGGGTGTACATTACTAGGAGACATGATCTCACACAAATTTCAAGATGCTGTGGCTTTGACCCCTCTTCTGAAATATTCCCTGAGCTTGAGTTGTAGGAGTTGTTATATATATATATATATATATATATATATATATATATATATATATATATATATCCTTAACTCTGTATTAATTGGTTGTGATTTTCTGTAGTCATCTCTGACAGCAGCACGAGTTCTTTTAATGAGGGATGAGGGCTATATTTATCTGTGTGTATAAGGACAGATATTTAGAATGTAGTTACAGATTATGCTGGTTTAGTGAAGTGGTGGTGGTTAGGTTCTACTACAAGCTCTATGACTACTAGAAGTGAGTAATTATCTAGGTATCCAGTACTAGGTATGTCTTCCCTCTTGATGAGTGGATCTTTAGTACAATTAGAGAGCTGTTGATTATTGCCAATGTATGTATGCTATTACCCTACTCTGAGGGTATTCATGTTATGTTGATTATTGTTGGGATTCAATTCTGTAGACAAATTGCTAAATGGTCTTATTAATAAAGGAAAAAAAAACAGAGCCAGATATTGGGGTTAAAACCTAAGAGATCAGAAAAGCAGAAAGAAGCCAGCCATATTCTTATCACTTGGAGATCTTCTACCAAAGAGACCTACTTCCTGTATACCCATGCCTAAATGTCATTCTGTTCTGCCATCTCATTTCCTCTCTGCCCAGCTATATCATGCCCTCCTCCTGTCCAGATCTGTCACTTCCTGTCTGTCTGTACAGAACTCCAGACCTTTATGGCTAACTAGTGTTGGAATTTAAGGTGTATGCCACCATACCTGGTTCTGTTCCCAGTGTGGCCTTGAACTCATAGAGATCCAGATGGATCCCTGCCTTCCGAGTGATAGGATTAAAGGCATGTGTTCCCATTGCCTCATTTCTATGTTTACTATAGTGGCTCGCTTTTTTCTCTGATCCCCAGGTAAACTTTATTTGGGGACACAGATAAAATATCACTACATAGGACTATGGGTTTCTCCCCTCCTTTGGAAACTTGCATGGTGCTGATCCCCTGAAAGCTAGTTCTCCATTTATGTATTAATTTATAGATGTTTTATAGCTATTTATAGGTATTTAAGTTTAAAGAATATTTGCATCTAATAAATGCTTTGTAAGATATTCAAATCATTAAAACTGTTTATGAACATGTTACTAATTTTAGATAAAATTACAAGCAAAATATCACATGGGGCTTTGTTTCATCCAATTGTTTGATTTGTGCCTCTAGGGAAATTCTTCAGTAGCATTCTCTAGGGTTCACATCCCCAAGGTCTCTGTGACATATATGTAGGACACAGTTTGGTGCTGGGTTTCTGCTTTTTCCTTGTCCCTTTCTCTCACTTATCAATGAGATTTCTTTTTGTAAAGTTTATGTGATAGAAGCCATTTTTCTAAAGAGTAAAACTTGCATTTTTCATGGTTTGTATTATATTCCTTAAAATAAATTAATTAAAATAAATAAATTAATAAAATAAAATAAATTGATTCCTAGCAAGACAGCCCTGGAGCCTATTATTTTTTGTTAGGGGTCTTAAATAAATGCATACATCAAATTCTTCTGCTTTGTGGTGAGTTTATCCAACTCTCATTTATTTTATCTGAAAACAAAGTGCTGTATAATCCTAATCTTCTCAGCCATTAAAATTCATGTGTAAATCTACCTCCTATGATAACCACATAGTTTTGCTAAGTAGATGGATTTATCAAGTTGTGTTTTTGTGTTATTATTATGTGACCAATATTTCTAAACCATTTCTACTTGTTCATTATATTTGCATATAATTTTTCTTTATATATACAAACATTTTAGTTTTAATCAATTATAATGCATGTATGGTATGCTTAGTTTTAACTATATATCTCAATTCATATTAATTCTCAAAAGAAAAACTGAGGATATGAATTATATTTGATAATTCTGTAGTTCCTAAGGCTCTCAATATTATATTCAGTAATAAAAGAAATATAATGAGAAACCCAAAATGGATCTCACAGAAAGGAAGGAATGGATTTGCTCTTTACAGACACATATGTACAATGTGTACATAGCACACTAAGCCATCAAACAATTCAATAGACTTGGCACTTGCTGGAGCAAAATGGGTGACTTTGAAGTTGAGCATCAAGTGTAGCAAGATAAACACAGAATATAAGAAGTGGACCCAAAAGCTATACACATTGAAAAAATTTATACAACTTGTTGAAATCATATTTTTTATCATTGGAAAAGATTATTCTTTCAACCCTAAGTTGCTCACACTTTATTAAAATAGGATCAGAGAAAGAATAGAGATTTTCATAAAGTTTTAAAAAGTCTAGTTATAGAATTTGGACTCTATAATTTTTATGAGATTTGTAAATGTATTCAGATTATTAAATGCTGTATATTTAATAAAATCCAAAGTAATAGTTGAAAAAAACTGCATGTATATGTCAATGATATTTTTATATGGAGGACACAAGTCTAATATTATTTCAAAGAATAAAATCATGGTGTAGTGAAATATATAGGCCTTTTAATTTTGGCATAAAGACGGGTCATTCTTATGTGCAACAGTTTTATATTTTATGCTGAGTGTTCTGTTAGGGTCAGTAAGTGGTCATAATGTAGTTCTAAGAAAAATATAATTAAATTGTAGAAAGGAGTAGTTGAGACATTTTTGAAGAACATAGCACATATAGGAATAACACCTTTCCATTTTTTCAATAATTTTAATTGCTTTGAATAATTAGGAAATTAGAAGATCTGCGGTTTCACTGTAGCTGCTGTTTTGTATAACTAAGATGTGTCTAGATACATCTAGAGTTCACATTATGCCTGCTACAGCAGACAACAGCACCTTCTATAATATTATGATGAGATTTTGTCCTATGATTGAGTGATCCATCTTGATCTTATGAACTGTATTTTATTAAAGAGTACACAATAGTAAACTGCAAAGGATAAAAACATATATTATAATATGTTAACTTGTGTTTTGAATTTCAATTAATGTAACTACTGAAATCAAATTCTGTGTAGCTCTTTATGGGTAATCCTTAAACCTCCAAACTTTTTCTTCACTGTTTTATTTAATTGCTTCTGTGTTTCAACTTTTCTATTTTATCTCAGGAACCAAGAAAACCAGACTACTTCAGTGACTTTCATCCTCTTGGGCTTCTCTGAATACCCGGACCTCCAGGTGCCCCTTTTCCTTGTATTCCTGACCATATACACAGTCACTGTGCTGGGAAACCTGGGCATGATTGCCATCATCAGAGTCAACACAAAGCTCCGCAGTACCCCCATGTACTATTTTCTTAGTCACCTGTCCTTTGTGGATTTCTGTTACTCTACTGTTGTGACACCCAAACTGTTGGAAAACTTGATTTTAGAAGACAGAACCATCTCCTTCTCAGGCTGCATCATGCAGTTCTTTTTTGCATGTACATTTGTGGTGACAGAAACCTATATGTTGGCAGTGATGGCCTATGACCGGTTTGTTGCAGTGTGTAATCCTCTCCTCTACATGGTTGCCATGTCCCCAAAGTTGTGTTCCTTTTTAGTGGGTGCATCATACTCTTGGGGTCTAATCTGTTCCCTGACACTTACTTACTTTTTGCTGAGATTATCTTTTCAAGGTGTTAATGTTATAAATAACTTTGTGTGTGAGCATGCTGCTATTGTGGCTGTATCCTGCTCTGACTCTTACATTAACCAGGAGATTATTTTTGTCTCTGCTACGTTTAATGAAATAAGCAGCCTGGTCATCATTCTCACTTCCTATGTTTTCATCTTTATCACTGTCATGAAGATGCCTTCCATCGGGGGCCGTAGTAAAGCCTTCTCTACATGTGCCTCTCACCTGACTGCCATTACTATTTTCCACGGAACAATTCTTTTTCTTTACTGTGTACCAAACACCAAGAGTTCATGGCTCATGGTCAAGGTGGCCTCAGTATTCTATACAGTCTTCATCCCTATGTTAAATCCCCTGATCTATAGTCTCAGGAACAAAGATGTCAAAGAGACAGTTAGGAAACTGATTATTAAAAACCTATAGTGCCATATTCATTCATTTTCAGGAATATTGCACAGAATTTACCAAGATTTCTACAATAATTGACAAAATTAAAATCAAACAACAAAAGGACAGCGAGTTTAACTCTAAGTTAGCTGATTATTCAAAATCTATTTAAATTGAGGTTGAGTATTCAGCTATAAAATAACAAGCAAAGCAGCAATGACTTTTCTATTTAAATGAAGATTGCACACTTGAAATTTTGTGTGCATAATTTATAATTAGCACACAATCATGATGAAGCATAATTTCTTGTTTCAGTCATTGGAGAATGGAAATTTAGATACATGGAATTGACAGATTTTTTTGTAATTAGTAGGCTGCTTAATTAACTTAATTAAATGATTATATCCTTGCTACTCAAATTTGCTAATCATGACTGATATCTTTTGGAATATCAAAATCTTGGTAAAATTCAATGCAGTGCAATGACCATTGGACTATAAATTACAAGCTTCAGACAGTCTTTTCTTCTTTTGAATTGTTTCGTTTTATGGCTAAAAGAAATATTGTGGTTTCCTTTATTATAATAATAAGTCTATGCAACCAAAGCTTTCTAAGTGCTTAAACATAAACAGTAATATATCAACAAGCCATTTAGTTTAGCTATAGAGATACCTCATTTATTTAATATCTGGTAGTTTGTAAATCAGATATGATATGCATTTAATCAAATGCTCTGTCAAGTAATGTATACCTTTAAAGAAAATAATATTTTCAACAAAAATAACATATTGGGGAATGCAATAACAATAACTGTATTTATCATATAAGAATTTGTATTTTGAATTCCAACATTACAAAAACCATAGTTGGTAGATATACATTAAATTATAATTTTGACATTGTAATTGGCTTTCTTGATTTGTAGAAGGAAACAAAACTATAAAAACTATTAAAAAATGTAGGGTAACCAAACATTCTATAATTAGATTTTGGACCCACTATAGGGTATAGGAAGGAACTCATAACTTGTAATGTAAACCAATTCCAAAGCCTATGGCATGGCCGGGTACTGGACCTAGGGGGAGATTTAATTCTGACGATTAGCATAAAACCACTTTCTATAAATACATGTTTGTATCCATCACTACCAGTCTTAATTGGTGAAGTTTATCTAGCAAACTTCAGTGAAAGCCATCTTACAGCTACACAAATTTCTGAAATAAGTGGTGGTTGGGTATTTAGCACTAAAGTTACATACACTTGAGAATATCTCAAAATAATTGCAGTTCATTAGACATAAAGTAAAATGAATGTTAATCTGGCTAGAGATGGAAGAGTTTACTAATACTCAAATCTTCATGCTACAATATCTAATTCAGTGATACATTTTAAATTGTCTGTGATTTTAGTCTTGATAATTTGTGTAATGAAAAATAATGTGATAATGATATGTTCATCAGTGGGTTACCTTACATTCATGAGTTGATTTGACATTGAGCAATAGCACAGTTTAAAAACCAAATAAAATTTCTAAAAATGATATGCTGTAATAGACCAGTTATTTATTATCTCTCTCCATCACAGCTTTGTTGCTTAGACCATAGTTCAGGCATGATCTGTCAAACACAGACAGAAGACACTTTCTACAAGCCTTCATATTTTAGAGGAAAAACGGGACACATCAGACAGGTGCCATGAAAATCTAAGTGACAGATAGCAGACACATGCAGACAGCTGTGTATCATCCACCAAGGAAATCACTCAATGGTGATGAAAATGAAAGCATCATCTTCTGGCTGATGCCTTATTCAGAATAGCATGGTGCAACAGTGTGAACAAGCTCACAGGTAGTTATTTGTGAACTTAGTCCTGTGAGAGGATCAGGTCAGCAAATAGCACATTAATATTAAAGAATCAATGCGGGATCAAGAGTGTAAATAGATATCGACAAGGAAGAAGCCTCTGGAAGACTATAGCCTTTTAGAAAACATGATTATGGGTCACCACAAATTAGCCATAGTCCAACTCCTGCCAACATGGATGCAGCTAGCAGCAAGGTTAGAAAAATGTCACAGTGGTCAATAACACATACTACTCTTACAGAGAATGTGAGTTCATGTCCTATGCAAGTATATAAAATTTCACATCTATATTGAGTAGCCCATAACAAACTGTAACTCCAGTTCTTAAGGATCCAAGATCCTCTTGTGACTTTAATGGGCACTGTACTTAAGTGCATAAATCCACACTCCAACATACACATAATAATTAAAGATAAAATGTTCTCTGATAAGATGCACACAAAGAAGAAATGCCTGAAGTTTCCTGTGAATGGAATGCATCTGTCATTAAAATTCAGTTCCCTCACAGTTTGTGAATTAAAACAGCAGAGCAAAGAAATCAAGAGAGGCACTTGGATATCACTTCAGGACTGCCAAAAGGAAATAGTGTAAGAAGCCAGCTGTAGTACAGATAAGCAGACACTTAAAGGCCATATAAAAGTAAATATTTCAAATAATAACATAAATACTGCTCTGAACAAAATCTTTAAAATTTTATCTACCCTTTGTAGGTTCTAATTATTAAAATTTTACATGTATAAGTTTTAGATGTGTAGGTAGAAGTAAGTCTGTATCTCAGAACCAGCAGTTAGATACTGTGGTTGGAAAGAAAGTAATAAACATTATAATTCCCACAGTGTAGTTCTTTCTTAGTGAGGCAAGGAAAGAAAACTGACTCCAAAAGTGCTCATGTGAAGTTTGCAGAATGTGTATAATATAATATGCATTCTTATTGTTTGCTGGAGAAACAAACCATGAGAATTATCATTCATGTGTACTCACATATGAATGTGAGGATTCTCACCCATAAATGCAAATATGCATACAAGAGGAGGAACATAAAGGACAGAAAAAGAAAAGGACAAAGGATGGGTGAATAACAAGAAAAAGAAAAGGAAAAGAAGAATGAAAAGAAAAGAGAAATACAAAATATAATAAAACTTACATTTGGACATCATTAGAGAACTATGATTTAGCTCTCTCTAGTCTAAGAAAAAGACCATAATTTCCATTCTCTATAAAGTTATTCGCAGTGAATAATGTAAATGTTACACATGCACAAACACATTATCCCCACAGTTTCTCAAGATATTTTATTTTTGTTTCATATTTGACTATTAGGAATTCAATGAATAAAAGAAAAAATACTTTAGGTATGTCTCTCTCTCTCTCTCTCTCTCTCTCTCTCTCTCTCTCTCTCTCTCTCTCTCTCCCTCTCCCTCTCCCTCTCCCTCTCTGTCTCTCACTTTGTGTGCACGCACATGCATGCGTGTGTGTGTGTGTGTGTGTGTGTGTGTGTGTGTGTGTGTGTGTGGCTATGAGTGAGAAAGGATTTTTACATGGATCAACTTTCTCAAAGTCTCCTTTACATCCTTATTTCTTAGGCTGTAAATAAGAGGATTCAGCATGGGGATGACCATGCTGTAAAACACAGTGACTATCTTAACCAGGAGAAGTGAGCTCTTTGACTTGAGCACACAGTACAGAAGGAGAATGATACCATGGCAGAAGGAGATGGCCGTCAGGTGGGGGGCGCAGGTGGACAAGGCTTTTTGGAGTGCTCCTTTAGTAGGAATCTTGATGACAGTGACAAAGATGACAACGTAGGAGACAATGATGATCAGGAGGCTGCAAATCTCATTGAACATACAAACTAGCAAGCATGCCAACTGGCTGAAGGAAGAATCTGAACAGGCTGCAGAGAGAATGGCAGAGTACTCACAGCAAAAGTGGTTGATGATGGTAGATTTACAGTAAGATAGTGCCAAAAGGAAATATGTGAGTGTGGTGGCACAAAGCCCACTCCATAGGTAAGTTCCAGTTACTAGAAGAGCACAGAGCCGACGAGACATAGCCACAGTGTAGAGCAGAGGGTTACAGATGGCTACAAATCGATCATAGGCCATGACTGCTAACATGAAGGTTTGGGCCACCACACAAGTGCAGCCAAAGTAAAACTGGATTATGCATCCTTTCAAGGACATAGATCTGTCCTCCGTTATCAGAAGATCTAACAGTTTTGGTGCAATCACGGTGGTGTAACAAAGATCAATGAAGGATAAATGGCTGAGGAAAAAATACATGGGAGTATGAAGTTTAGCATTAATCCTGATGACCAAAATCATACCTATATTTTCCAAAACAGTGATGGTGTATATGATCAAAAACATCAGGAACAAAGGCACCTGCATGTTCGGATACTCTGAGAATCCCAAGAAGAAAAATAAGATTCCAGTACTCTGATTCCTTGAATGCTGCATTTGGATTCTATTGGAGAGAATCAGAGTCCATCCCAGGTAGCAGGATACAGTGGAAGATGTGGATAGTATGAAGGGAGACAGAAGAACATATCTTAATTTACAATATGACATACACAAGAAGTATTTCAAAAGAAAGTGGCATGGCTTTGAATCACAGATTGTTTCTACACATATGCTTCTTAGATCAGATCAGGGAAACGTCACCTCACTTAGTATGCACTGTGAAGTCATGAACAATTCTGTGTATTTTAATGTTATCACTCAGGGATAGCCCACACTCCAAACTAGATAGAAATTTCATTTTGCCATCTACGTCTTCAGGCCACGTTCTCTGATAATACTGGTACTGGAATAGGGCTTCAAACAAGTGCGTTAATGTACGGATAGGTGTAATAGCTTTAGAATGCCAAATAACTCTTCTTAAAGAATGTTTGGTATTTTCACAAAAATAAAATAAAACATTCTCTTATTAGATTTCATGGTGATTGAGTTTTAGTGTCTATTTCTATGCTTATTGGTAAGGTTAGTTCTTTCCCAGTACTCATTCATCTTGCCCATAACACATCAATACAAAGGGTAGAGAGCCACGTGAGCCATGTTTTGTGTCTCTTACATTGCTTGTCTCCTTGAACAAAATCTTGGTTTTAAATACAGAAATTTAATTTATAGTATTTAGGGAAAACTTGCTGTTTTGCAAGACAGAGGTATAATATAA